AGAAGCAGGTGCTGCTATGCTGACTCTACAGATGCAAATGTTGCAGATTCTGCTCACGTCACTCAGGCGTATGCCCATTTCTGAATGACAGCAGGGTCTGTGTTCCTTCTCCAGTATTTCACTCACCCCAAATCATAAGCTGGTTTTGAAATCATCCACGTAAAACAATTCAGGACACTAAAGTAGAGACAAATTTTGAAATTTACATTTTCTAATATAGATTTCAAAAATAAGTGGTTGACTTTTTCAAAAATTAGCTGCCAGGGCCGGTGTTATGGTGCAGCGGGTTAGGTTGCCACTTGCAAAGCCTGCATCCCATATCAGAATGCTGGTTTGAATCCCACCTGTTCTGCTTCTGATCCAGCTCCCTGTTAATGAGCCTGGGAAAGCAACAGATGGTGGCTTAAAGGAGACCTGCTTGAAGGTCCTGGCTCCTGGTTTTGGGGGAGTAAACCAGCTGATGGAAGATCTCCCTCCCCCATCATTCTGTCTTTCAAGCGAATAAAAGTGAGTCTTTAAAAAAATGGTTGCCACATTAATGGCAATGATTGAAAACAGGGAATTGGTGTGACAGTCGAGCGCTCAGTGCCTTTCAGTGCCACATCTTGAACTGGAAACAGGGATGCCCTCAGTGGTCAGAGGACAAGTGTAGGCCTGAAAAGGAGACAGGAGAATGGAAGGCCATTCTCGGACGTCAGCCTTGATCAGAACGCCTGAGGGGTCTGCAGAAGAGTTCCCTTCCTGCCTTTCCCTGGAAGTCTGGACTCAGCGTGTGGGTGGGAGCTGCCTGTTCCCAAATGATTCTGATTCTCGTGTGAGTCTGATTCAGGTGGTCCAAAGACAACATCTCACGATAATATCAGGGATTGTGGCCTTTTCCCAAAGAGTTACAGACAGGCCCGTTTGGGTCCGGTTCAGCCTGAAGTGCCGCCATGTTACCTATTGAACATATGTAATCGAAGGGGCGGGTTCTTTTTTTTTTTTGTGTGTCTCACTGGCCCTGGACCTCAACCCCTCACAGTTCAGCCATGAGCCAGGATAGTGCAGGTGTGAACTCTTTGCCTGAAAGAAAATTGTTTTGGGTAATGTGCCAAGGATGGATGGGAGTCACTGAGCAGATATTTTCCTTCTGGAAACTGATGAACTTTAGCAGACTTTAATTTGCCTTCTGGTTTCACTGATCCTTGTTTTAATAACATGAAAACAAATGGCCTTTTCTTAAAATGGGGAAGCACAAGATTATTCTAGGGAAAAAAAACATGTGAACAAGCTTATTTAATAATACTCTGCCAATAAAGATGAACATCCTTCCCAAATTTATTTTGTTCAAAAGACTTCCAGATTTCTGGAACGGGGAGGATCCGCTTGGATAAAACTAGAGAAGTGTGAAGTGTTGGCATGGGATAGAGCTGGGAAAAGTGCCTGCTTGCTGTGTGGGGGTGTGGGGCACTAGAGAGGGGGTCTCGGTCTGATGATGATGGCATTGCCTAGAATTGAGAAGGACTCAATAGGGAGCCTACGGGAGCAAGAACTTGTCTTCGAGGGGTCCTCAGGTCCCAAGCATTTGTCTTTATGACAGCCACACTGTGCAAACGGTTCTTCACTGTTCAGAGTTTATTCCACTCTCCCCAGGGTATGTGGCTCCACAGAAGGCACTGACTTAGAGACTGTGTACCTACGTTGGAGTTATAGCCTGATCACTTACTGGGTTTTTGCCAGTTGAGCAAGGCACACAGCCAGTAGGAGCCTTTGTTTCTCATCATTTATAATGTAGTAATGACAAATAGTCTATAAAATTCATAGGGCATGTATGTGCCTCAAAGAAAACTATGTATGTAGTGTTCATAAACCTTACATAGTGTGTTCATATAACACGAGAAGGTGATGACTAAGAAGGACAGTGCTTGCAACAATAACCACACGGTGACGGTGAACGGGAGAGTAGAGAGGAAGGCCTCTCTTCCACGAGTCATCACAGTGCCAAAGGGGGTGGCCACACGAGGCTGCACCCACTTCTGTGGGAGGCAGAGTGCTCTGTGTGCAGTGTTCCGGGGTGGGGCTGGGGGCTCCCGGGGGTGCCCTCCCTAAGGGGCACTGCTCTCTACGGGCAGGTGATGGCCTCTGCTGTTAACTCCTTGGGGAATGTGTAGGCCGGGCATATGCTGGGCAAGCACTGGCCCCAGGGAATCCACCGAAACAGGTGAGCTGAAGCAAGGAGCACTTCATGCTTGTCCACGGGTGGCTTTGGATCTCTGAACAGATGCTCTGTGCACAAGGGACCAGGTGACAGAGAAGCTGCACGGTTACAAAATGCAGTGTGTGCTAAAGTGGGCACATGCTCTAAGTGATTTTTATGAAAAGGAGACTGTCAACTTCAAGTAAGCTGTAAAGCCAGAGTGAAACCATAGAGCCCAGGCTCTTGAAGGGTATTGAAGATTTTAATATTCAAAAATCACCAGATGGCTTAGGCCTCTTTGGGGATCTGCAGTCACACAGTAGCAGCTCCTGCAGTTGGACACGGCTGTGGTGGGGTGTGGTGACTTGTGTGTGTGTGCTCACACTCTTGTGTTCGCATGTGCAAAGCTGAGGCTCAGAAGAACCACAGCAAGATGGTGCAGCTGTACATGATCAGATTCCAGAGATAAGACGAGTGTTTCAAATCCAACTTTTGTACACTTATACCACAAAAGTAATTTTTTGTGGGAAACAAAGAACCTTAAACAAAGCTTCCACTTAAAAATATTTCTCATATTTGTAGTAACTTTTTACTACCATTGTATTATTAGTAGTTAATTCATCCCTTTACTTTTATAAATGTATTTATAAATACATTTAGTATGGCAACATAGTATTTTAAGATCTTTGCCCTCTCTCCTTGGCTCTCCCAGTTCTCCAAAGGCAGGAAGCCTACTTGGGCCACATGTGACAAGGGTTTGTCACTATCTCCTCAAGCTTCTCCCTTCCCTGTCCCTCCTGGGAGGTCAACAGGCTGCCTTGTCTCCTATGCCACTTTGCTGTACTCCTTCCTCATCCTTTTTCTCCCATGGGCTACCTGGTGCCATGGGACCCTGTGACCAGCTCGTGATGGTGGTACTGGTGGGCACAGGGGTATGGCGGGGTAGTTTTTCAAGTCCCTGGATCTCATCTGATGCTTGCTCTGTCTGGTCTCTATGGCTCCCAGGAAAAAAAAAAAACAGGGCCTCAGGTCCTGCCTTTGTCTCCCCCTTTTCTGTTTACTGTGAGATAGCAGTGACTGGAGTCCGGATCTCAAGTCTAATATCCTGTCCATAATATTATCATACAGCATAACATCTGCTTTGTTTCCTAATATTGCCCAGTAAAGAAACTATTACTGGTGACTTTATCACTCCTCTTGCTCTGTGATTATCCCTGATTCTCACTATTTTGAATGCTACTGTAATGATTTTTATTTTTCATGTAAAATTTCCCCATGATGTATTTTAGATCGTTTTCTTGGGTTCATTATAGAAAGTAGATTTACTGCATTTATGAGCTTAAGCAATTTCATGGCTCTTAGCACATAGCACCGAATCATCACTCCAAGTAAGTGGACTGATGCATCCTGCTACATCAGTCCACTACATTTTGAAAATGTCAATTTCACTCCCTGTCTTTGCAAAAATATAGCAGGAAGATAACACTCAGAATTATTGGTCTCTCATTCTTGGTAACTGTTATTTAAGTAAATATAAAGGGAGAGATAGCAAACTTTTAAAAAAAGCTATTCCTCTATATGATTTTTTTTCTTTTGGTGACTTCTGAGTAGTCAAAAATAAAGGTAAATCATCATACCTGGAGAGTGTTTGAGAGGGCCACCTGTGGCATGTGGAATGGTTGGGGTGAGCTTTTAGCCTAGCAGTTCTGACACTGGTTGGGATGCTCCCAACCTATGATGTAGCACTCGAGTTTTTGAGTCCTGTCTCCACTCTTGCTCCTGCTTCCAACTTCCTGCTGATGTGCACCCTGGGAAGGCAGTGGTCATGGTTCATGCATTTGGGTTCCTGTCACCCACAAGGGAGACATGGATTGAGTTCCCAGCTCTCTGCTTCAGCCTATCCCTGTCCTGGCTATTGTGGGCTTTGGGAAAGTGCACTAAGAGATTGGGAGCTCTCTCCATTTTTCATTTTATGCTCCTTTGCAGGGTGGGCCTCATCATTTTCAATGAGGGGCAGTCAATGGCTTGGGAAATAGTAGAAGTGTTATACCAATATTGCAGAAAGACAGGTAGGAGTTGTGACTTCCAAAACTGGAAATTGAAGTTTGCTCTGAGACTTGATTCAGAGAGAAAAGGAAATTTTAACTTCTAATTCCCTAAATCTTCCCTTAATCTATCCAGAGCAAAGTTGGAGTTCTGAGCACATTATCGTGCTCTGTAGTAAAGACACAGGATATGGCATGAAGGAAGAAGGAGCTGTGGGAAGCCCAAGAGAAAAGTGGGACAAAGAGTGAAGCTGTGAGTTCCTGCCTCTGTCTCTGGCAGCATTCCTTGGAAGAGATGTGGAGCAAGAGACAGAAGTGCAGGGGGTTCACGTCTCACTTCTCAGAAAAGTTGACAGCATCACAAAGAATCCCATGTGCAATGAACCTTGGGACATAGCAGCAAATAATGACCAAGTATTCCCATGAGCCCAGGAAGAATTAGCCACAGGTTGGTAGACACTAGCACAGAGCCTTAGCTAGAGGAGTTGCGCACACCGGAGACTAATGGTTTTCTGAGAATAGCGTGGAGACCAGAGAGTCTCATCCTGCTGCCATGACATTGTGTCCTCTTTGAGCGGATTCTACCCTGGGAGCCCCCTCACATTCAGTTCTGTGTGTTTAGCTCTTCCCACACTGCATCCTGGAGTAGGCTTACCTTTCTGCAGACTGAGCACTTGGGATGAGACCCCACCCTTTAAGTCCTGTGTGTGTTTTGTGTTGGTTTCAATGACTGCTGCTCTGTTGTGGTCACACCTGGTGTGAGTACGTGCTTCACTCACCTGATTCTCTTTTAGTGTTATCTGTCCTTGTTCCTTACAGCCAATGAACGTTCTGACACATCTGAAAATCTTCTCATTTTGTTGTACTCTCTGAACAAAGTTGGCTGGAAAAAAGCCAATCCTGTCTTCAATTTTCCCCTGGAAAGAAAAAAGAGGAACAATATATAATTGAGGCATTAACTAGAATTATCATTAGCAAATGATTTTTTAAATAAAAGGAAATAATTACTTTCCACCAGTCTTCATTGGAATCCTCTAGAAGAGTGATCATGTCTCCTGGCCTAAAATCAAAAGATAAATGAGTTAGATGGAGAAATAGAGAAAGGAAAAAAAAAATGAAAGAGCAAAATATGATACTTTAAATTCAGAAATTAGAAATATATTTATATAAATAACCCTAAATAAAACAGAAATAAATAAGCAGGACTTTTATCAGTTTTCTCTAAGAAAAGAGCCTCAGTACACATTGAAAGCAAGCATAATTTCTGGCTTTATTTAAATCCTATCTTCTTTAAGACATAAATGATAATATTCGCATTGCAAAATCCTCCAAAGTTTAGCAGTGGATGCATTTCTGGAAGGCCCTGCATACGTTGTCCCATGACTTCCTGCCATGTCCTGTGTGTCCTTACATGTCTGCACGTATGCAGACTTTTTATATTGACAGCTAGAATTAGTGCCTATGTTTATCATTGTTTACATCTTCTCAGCAGCATCTCGAAACCTGGGAAACTGTCTTAGCTTCATTTTCTGTGCCTGCCACTTTAAAAAATTGGCTTACTTTGGACTATTCTCTAGGGGTGTGTTGTGTGTATGTGTTCGTGTGTGTGTGTGTGTGTGTGTGTGTTAACTACTTGTATCCAGAACTTTAGTGGAGCTTTTTATAATGAGACTCGTAATTTTTATGTTGGGACAATTTCTTTACTATTCCTCCCACTGTTTGCTCCCCCTCTTCTTACTCCCTTCTTTTCTTCTGGAACTTCAGCCCTGGGTCACACTGGATTCACATGCCATGCCTTTTGTATTTCTTACACATATCCAATCTCCTTCCCCACCCGTGTTCTTAAATTTTTCTTGATTTCCTAATTATCTATTTTGCTTTTGGGCTTCTCTTTTCCATCACTTACCATAATATTGAGAATTTAAAAAAAATTAGAAAGCAGGAAGCTGGAATCAGGAGTGGAGCTGTATTTTTTTTTAAGGTTTATGTATACACACACACACACACACACACACACGGCGGGTGGGGAGAGAAACTCAGAGTTGGACCAGGCTAAAGCAAGGAGCATGGAACTCCTTCCAGGTCTCCCATGTGGATGGCAAGCGTCCAAGCGCTCAGACCATTTCCTGCTGGTTTTCCAGGTGCATCAGCAAGGAGCCGTATGGGATGTGGAGCAGCCGGAACTCAAACCAAAGTTCATACGGATGTGTAGGCAGTGGCTTCATCTGCCGTGACATAGGCCAGCACCTGGAGCTGGGACTTGAACCACACATCCCAAGCAGCATCTTAACTTCTACACCAAACGCCTGCCCCTCTTATGGTTTCTTTGTTAATTGTCTGAAAGATACCTGAAGGTTGCGTTCCATCACAGATGTGGTATTACAATGAATCTTTCTGAGGATATCACAATTTTTTTTTTTTTTTTTTTTACAGGCAGAGTGGATAGTGTGAGAGAAACAGAGAGAAAGGTCTTCCTTTGCCGTTGGTTCACCCTCCAATGGCCGCTGCTGCTGGCGCGCTGCGGCCGGCGCACCGCGCTGATGCGAAGGCAGAAGCCAGATACTTATCCTGGTCTCCCATGGGGTGCAGGGCCCAAGCACTTGGGCCATCCTCCACTGCACTCCCTGGCCACAGCAGAGAGCTGGCCTGGGAGAGGGGCAACCGGGACAGAATCCGGCGCCCCAACCGGGACTAGAACCCGGTGTGCCGGCGCCACAAGGCGGAAGATTTGCCTAGTGAGCCGTGGCGCCGGCCAGGATATCACATTTCTAAAACACTTTTCTTCCTTTATTGAATTGATTGTTTCCCCCGGGATTCCTTGGCCCATTCTTTATCTTATTGTTTTTCCTTATGTCACAGAATTTTCTGCAACATCTGATATTTCTTGGTTGTTTGCATTAAAGACTGAATATAGAGGGTGGTGAGTGTCCACAGCTGGGCAGACGTCTCTGCTCTTAATTACACCCGATTTGCTGAGCACCTCTCTCCCCCAGGCTTGATGGTTTTCATCTTTTTTGAAACGTGAAAGTATGGCAGGCAAACAGTCTGCAGCCTCCTATACTTTCTTCACCATGGTGTAAGAGAAGGTAGTTGATCTTCCTCCTAAGTGGAGCCGCTCTCTGCCCCACCCTGCCTTTTGGGAGGTCTGGAGGGTCAGAGTTGTGTCGGTACAATTCTTCCCTCTCAGGCATCTGTGCCCATGTAGGGGCCTGCTTGGGCATGTGCCCTTTAACTTTTTATAGAGTGCAGGGATTGGCTTAATGCTGCACTCCAGCACCGTTGCTACTAATTGCTTGTTGCAAGCAGTAATATGGTGCTATGAGCACAGTTAGGATTCTGTCAGTTACATGAGGGCATGCCAAAATGTCTGTGGAAAAGTGGAATATAGGAATTAAGGATAAACTTATTTTTTTGTGCAAAAAATATTGAAATTATGCATAGCTTTTCATAGTATGCATTCTTTTTTATTTTTTTTAATTTTATTTTTTTGACAGACAGAGTGGACAGTGAGAGAGACAGAGAGAAAGGTCTTCCTTTGCCATTGGTTCACCCTCCAATGGCCGCCGCGGCCGGCACGCTGCGGCTGGCGCACCGCGCTGATCCGATGGCAGGAGCCAGGAGCCAGGTGCTTTTCCTGGTCTCCCATGGGGTGCAGGGCCCAAGCACTTGGGCCATCCTCCACTGCACTCCCGGGCCACAGCAGAGAGCTAGACTGGAAGAGGAGCAACCGGGACAGAATCCGGCACCCCGACTGGGACTAGAACCCAGGGTGCTGGTGCCTCAGGCAGAGGATTAGCCTAGTGAGCCACGGCGCTGGCCGGAAACATTCTTTAAAAATGAAATTTTCTGACACATTTAGGAGCTGGAGCAGGAGGGGAAGCAGATTCGTGTGCTCATTTTGCTATGCTGATCCAATCTCCTCTGCTGTCATCTTCAGTTCTCAGTTAATATCTGTCTTCCTCAGGGACTTGGAAGGCTTCGGGCGTGTTGCACCTGAGGCATCAAACACAACTGGCATTTTGGTATTTCAACAGTCGCAGTTGCAGGCTGATGCCACAGAAAGCGAGATGGCTCAAAAATCCCTTACCAGGTGAGGGATTTAATTAAGTAGCAAGGATGAAAGTCAATGTGTAAAAACCTTCTAAGCTCCAGCAGATTTTATGTAACCCAATAACCTAAGCAACATGCGTGTTAGCATTCATCACGGTCACTGTGCTGAGGGTTTGGCGGAAATTGCAAGTAGAGAAAAAAGCCGTGGAGTCGGGAGGGAGCTTTTCCTGAGGGTGAGCGAGGGTGCTGTCTGGATCTGGTCAAGACCCGCTCTCTGCTGTGCCCAGAACTGGACAGTCCCCAAGCACGTGCTCTGTGCTAACTCAACTACCCGTTAGAATAAGGCACTTACTGGAATATCAGCTACACTTTTTTGAGAAGAACCAGACACAGTGCTGACAGTGTGAGGAGGATTCTGCTTTTTCCTATAAACGAGTGCTACCTGGATCAGAGAGTCACCTGGGGGTGGGGAGAGTTAAATTCAACCATGGAGTCTTGCCTTTGTTTTTGGTTTGATTCATTGAACAAATAATCACAGAATGCAGACTCTGAAAGAGCCATTTTACTAGGTCCTGGGTGTACTTTGGAAAATAAAATCCTTATTGGAGCTAATAGGCTAGTGAGAAAGATGAATAGAAAACTGGTACATAGATAATAAAACATTTAAATATGTAACCTATATCATATTTACTTATACAATACATATGCACAATGCATAAATGGACAACTTCAGGGTGTTTTAAGGGCTGTGAAGAAAAGAAACAGGATATCATCATAAAGAGGGAGAGTGGACTCCTGTTGAGTCTGATTAGTCAGATACTCTAGGGATGTGGCCGAGATAGCTTGTGCCTGTCTTTCTCTGGAGCAAGGATCTTGCTCTAGGGTAGCTCTTGAATCCAGCTCCTGAACATCTGGATCCGAACATCTGTGCCTTGTGGGACTATACTACAGCCATGCCTGTCCAAGCATCACCTGATAATCTCTTCCCCACTAAGCCTGTGCTCAGAATACTTTCACCACTGGGTCCAGGTGGTGGATCTGGATCAGCACGAGTAACAGAACCGCTCTGTAATATGTGTATCTTGTGTGTCCTGGCCCAGTTTTGAGGCACTTCCCGCTGCGTAAGCAGCTGATTAAGTCCGTGTCCCCAGCCACCTGCCATAACAGGCCTCTTCCGATCTGGGCTGTTGTACAGCAGCCCTAACGGCCCACCCTGAGGGTCAGTACCAGACACAAAGGGACAGCCTTCACGTCCTGGAGCCCCTGAGATGATACATATTTGCCAGTTTGTGGGGAGCCCTGGAAACCTGGCTAACCTACCGCTTGTCTTAATAAGCTGCCCTGCATCGCCAGCTTGCTGTTAATCCTGACTTCCAGCTCCAGCCCCTGGTGTGGCCCTTCCTGCAACCATTCACTCTCCACTGTGAGTTTTCTTAACCCCCTTTCAACTTAGTTCTCTCCTCCTGCAGTGGTAGGGATGTTCTATGTACTGCCATCAAAGGACAGAATTAAAAGATTCTGCCCCACCTGCTCTACTGAGGGAGAGAGCCTTGCCATGGTCTCAGAGGAATAGAACCTCCTGCTTAAAATCCTTCCCCCTTCCTTGTTCTGAGGATGCATATTGCCAGCACCTGGCTCTCTACCTCCAGGTATTTCATTCTTCCAAGGCTGACAGATTCCTTTCCGTGGAAGAATTCTCTATTCAGGTTGCCACGCCCAAGGAAGCTCTGGGGAAAATCCTGCTCTGGCCTAATAGTTACTCTCTTTCTGGTCCCTTTACATTCCTGATCCATTCTGGGTAGATTTCATAGGTCGACTCTTTATTTCCAAATTCTTGTGACCAAATTGGTCAGGCCTCCAAATACTTAAGAAAAAAAAATTCTACTTGCTTAATTCCATCAGAGCATTCTAAGTTCTGGTAAAAATAATTCTGTTTTGGCGCAACCTGGAAGTATACATCAGGATGCAACGTACACTGCATTTCACGAATAACAAACAAATAACAAACAA